GTGTAACCTACCTGCCTTCTGTGAGGCGCACTACGTATTTTGTATTTCTTAGAACTTTTTCATTTTTCCGAGTCCTGACAGACGTTTAGGGTTTGATAAGTCAGTGAAGGAGCTGAGGAACCACACTTCCGCTTTATCCCCAGAATTTTCAGGAAAAGCAGAGAAAGGAATATAGCTATTCTATCCACTGTGCACTCCTAGTTTCACTATCTGAGCTGTGTCTTCTAAATTTGCACCATAACAAATATGTATAATGTGTTTTGAAGGATTGGCATGGAGGTGAATAACTGTTTGGTGGTTTTGACTACTGGAATCCTTTGATAAGCACCATCATGTTCAACAGTCCAGCTGTTTTTTCAGTTCCTTTTAATAGATGAATATATTGTGCACTTAATGCCCATGCAGTCATCCACAAATGCACCGGTTTGTGTTTTCTTCAGTCTTTTTTTTTTTGTGAGTGTGTCTGTAACATTAAGAATTTTTTGTATCAGATTGTTTTTCATACAGATCATCAGAGTGTGGTCAGGTAGCCTTTATTTTAAAAGAAAGGAGAAAAGGTGCTTGTCCAGCATGAACAGAGTCTGGATTTATAAAAATGCCCAAATCTCTATTACTGATAGTATGCGTTCCGAATCCCATTCATACAAATCTAGATCTTCTAAATGAGAAGGAACAAAGTCAGTAGAGGGAGACTCTAAAGAAGATGTTGGAGAACTAGAAAACAAACTAGTTTCCTGTAGGTTAATGAAAGTGAGTTTTATGTTTTTCTGAACGTATTAGTTATGCAGTCCCAGCTACAAAATTATCAGATTTAGGTATACAAAATTACTACAGCATTGTGGATATTTAAATCATTATACTCTTATGGCAAAGAAATTTAGTGTCATAGGGATTAATATTTTTGGAACTATTATTTTTAAAATTACTATCTTTTTGCAGTTTCCACTAATTATCTGGCTTGTACTTTCTATGAGAAAACTAACGAATCCTTTAACATAGGCAGTAGTACACATTTTTTTTCCCTGGAGCCCTTCTCTCCACACTGAGGATGTACAAACCAATACAAATTATGGATTAGAGTGATCCTAAGTGTAAACCACCAAAATCTTCAACTTCTGCCTGCCTCTTAACATTTTCAGTGACTTGGTTTGTATTCTTCTAGGTTTCTTCCATATTTAGCATCTAAATAAAAAAAAAAATAAATGGCTAAAATTAAGAAGTTAATCATTTTAAGCCAGTAAGTATCACAGTTTTGGTGATTCTAATCTTTTTACAAACTCTGTGTCTATCACTGTGGTAGCAATTCTCATTGCTGGTCTCTGACTGTATTTTGTTTGTCCTTTGAGTTATGAAGGAAGAAAACAGCAGGCATGTGGCTTTCCACATTCTAGGTTTTGTAGGCCCAGCTTATAAAGAGAGAAAAAATAGTACACTGTATTTCAATATGCAAATACATTTAGCAGAGAACAGTGCACCATGACTACAGCTTTACTATACTGTGCAAAGATGACATAATAATGTCCTTCTGAGTTTGTTGATTTGAATTTAATGGGTATCCTAATTGCTCTAATTTCATTTATTCGGGAAAATAAAAAAAAAAAAATCACACTACTCTCTTTTTCTTTCATTAGTCTAATCTTAACTTTCTTTACTAAGTGAAATATCTTAACCCATATTGTAGAATCTGATTAACTGAATGTACATGCTAAAAATCCTACAGGAGCAAAATACCCTTTTGCTGAATACATCTTACCATAGCTAGAAGGTAGTAATTGCTATTAAAGACTGATTCTTTAAGAATAAATGTCAAAATCTGTCTCAAGGACTGGTTTTCAAGTAAGATTTTTAATCAATTGTAATGACTTCTATTTTTCAAAGATATTTTTAGTAATACAATTTATAATAACATGTCCAAATTCCTAAGAGCGTTTAATCATAGCCTAGTAGTAATGACTGCAGCCTGTTCTCTAATAGATCTTGGTATTTAATGGTTTTGGCATTAAGGTTCTCATTGGAATAATTTATTATTAACTTAATTATTTATCATTCTTTTCTAAAAGGAGCTCATGGAACTCTAAAGATTTCAGCATTATGAAAATTACATGAATCTATAACAATCAAAAGGAGTTCATTTTTAATTCTATAATTGAGTAAAAATATATATATAGCCTCTGTCATTTTATAAACAAAGCAAAGACTAGAAGAGTTTGTATGGAATGCAAGTTGACATATTAGCATTTGTTTGGCTGTAGCCTGTTTATAACTACTGCCATTTCCTGGTTTCCTGTGGCCAGTGCATTTTTAGAAAGTTTTCAATAGAACAGCAACATTAAAAATAGAATAGAACTTTAAAAAGCTATTAAAATCCTTTTTAGAATTACTACACATATTGAAGTTCTTTCCAAGCCAAATATTCACGTTTGGGATCCTGGCTTCAGCGCACTGTGGAGACAGGCTAGACCCTTACACTTTATATCTTAACTTCTCTTCAGCCCTTATAGGAAGACTTGAACGGAATTCTCTTCAAGGTTGCCTTTATTATTTTCCCTCCATCGTCATGTGTAATCGTGCTCTAAGAGGAAGTAATTATAAACCATACCTGATATAATAGGTGATATATGTAGACTGCTCTGATTCCGAACACCTAAGTCTTTTTTTTTTTTTTTTTTTTTTCTTTTCTTGTGTTTTAATAGCAATGGGAATACACATTTTGGTCAGAAGAGCAATGATGATTAAAGTGTTATAGTGAACTCTTGACAGGTCAAACGTAGTCAAAAAGCATAGCGAACATAATGGCACTTAATGCTTGCATATACTTGTACTTAATACTTGTATAACTGCTCTTGTATTCCCGAAGCTTTTCATTCTTAAATGTTCACTTTAAGGCTGCTGCAATTTGGCCTCAGTAAGGTTGTGTCTGGAGAGCTGCTGTATGAACACAGCATTCCAATTCCTGTTCAGTACCGTTCAGCTTGACACTAGGGCTTAAGACTTGTGGTAGTTATAACACTTATGACAGGTCTTTACTATGGTCATTTATTGCTACTGTAAAAATCTGCCATGTCTGGAATAGAAAATGGAGGGGAAGGTCTAATACAGGTGCTGGGGGCTCAGCTATTCTGGGAAAGAAATTGACTTTTGAAAAAAATATTCTGTGCAGGATTGGATCCACACCGCTTTGTTTAGCAGAACTGTGGGTAGCAAGTAACCGTCAGTGTTCAAATTAAAACCTGACTCGCTTAAGTAATGTGTTAAAAAGGACGCAATACTTATAAAGGGTAAGTGGAGAGTCTGTCCTGCACCTATTCACTTTCCTTGAGTGGCAAATCTAGAAATCATGTGTGAATAGAAGAAGGTGCAAATAAGTAAGGCTAGGAAAATCCACCAAAGTCCTCCTTATAAATACTTGTGCATGCCTTGCTGCTTCCCAGAGCCGAATGTGAACCAGTACCCTAAGCGTCACTTGCAAGTGATTACTCTTTCCAGTAATTTCTTTCTAGGTAGGCTTGTTCTTGTAATTTTAGTGACTTCAGCAAGATCCTTGGTACACTTCCTGAAAATAACAAGATGAGACTAAAAGGGGGCAATAGCTTAGCCCTTGGGACCCAGGGCTAAGGTTAGGTGTGAGTAACTAAGAGTCTGCTTTAGTCGTACCGTTTTTCTGACGTCAATGGAAGAACAACACATTTCAAAATTCGTGGTGTAGGTCTGGTTATCTAGATCAGGTCACAAGTATATTAACAAAAAATACAAGCTTTAGAAATGAATGTTAGCAAATCCTATAAGCGTTGCAATATATTTCTGTCTGCCAGTAGTAATTTGAGTATTACATAGGTTACATTTTTTGAGACTGTAATATAAAGAAACTTTTCCAATAATAGTGTTACTTGGGAAATTGGGCAAACCAGCTTTCATGATAAGTCACTGTGAAGTGCTAAGTGGTACGAATTTCTTATTTTATTCATAGCGAACAATCTAATACGTCAGTTGCATATAGGAAGGGCAACAGGATTGCTGAGTGGAGCCAGATTTATTCTCTTATTTAAACTAGTACAATTCCACTGATTTCAGTGGTGTAACTTGGAAGAAAGACTGGTACAAGTTTAGAAAAATGTGATTTTTTTTTTTTATGAATTTCACTTTCAGTTCTGAATTTACATATCTGACTGTTTTGATACCCCCTTTTGTTTTTTCTCATGTGTCTGTGGAAATATGGATAGACATTCAGAAGCACTTAAATGTGTAAGAAACTACTTATCATAAACATCTTTATATACTGTCATTTATATTATTATTCAGTTTTAAAACCTCTTCAACCATTCAGGATAATAGGATAGTGTAAACATGCATTTAAAAAGAAAAAAAAACCATAAAAATACATTTTCTGTTTTCACATATAAACAGTTCATGGTAAATTCATATTTAAATAATCAAGAAGATTAAGAAATATCTCTAAGTAGCTTTTTGAGAGGCACGCATAAAATTCTTTCAGTACTAGTGATGTTCTTTTTATGGCTATGTTTACAATTTATAGTAACTTGAATTACTCAGCTCTATCCAGGGGCTGTATAGCTAAATCAAGTAAGTGATCGTTTATCTTCAGTTCGGACCTTAAAGCGGTTACATATGTGTTACATGTGTTGCTATAGTCTGTCTTCCTCCTCAGCAGTGAATGGTTCAACTAAGGATGCAGATTAAAATTATTTCATGACTGCTAGTCCTCATCGTTTGACTTAAAATGTACAGTGATCTCACAAATTATTAAAAGGGAGACAGTGTTCAATTATGCCTTATTTTGTTGAGAAACGTAGCTAAAAAAAAAAATCCAGCTTCAGCAGCATCATTTCAGTCCAACAGAAGTAATCAGACACAGTTTATAAAAACTGCTTATGTTTGCAAAGAGCAGGCTGTAATAGACCTTTTCAGTTAATAGAAGGCTTCCTTCACATTTAAAGTTAAACGGAAAGCTTTCAAAATTCAATTATGGAATTTTTCCTTAGGTTGGCTGGCAGTTAAAGAACCTAGTAAATGCATTGCGGGAAGACCCAAATGGAGTGATTTTAACCTTGAAAAAACGTCCTCAGAATACCCTGGTTTCTGCTCCTGCCCTTCTGAAGAATGTGAGGTGGAAGCCTCTTGCACTTCAGGTAAGAAGGCTGTTGCGATGCTGGTGTCATGGTAAATCCTTTATTCAAGAGAAAACACTAAAATTTTTCCTTCCAGTGAAAGGAATAGAGGCCTCTAAAAAGTCCCAAATTCCTTTGAAATAGGGCGCTGAGATAAGTTTGTGTGGCAATACTGTATCTGTCAATAAGATTGTTTTCCTCCATTTTTTTGTGAAGTTGGGAGCCACAGGAATTCATAGAAGGAAAGAGCATTTTCAAATACTGTTACTGAAGAACGAGGCAGCCGAAGGTTCAGTATCGTGCTTTGACTGGCAGAGGCAACTCCCTGTTTCCATTATTTCCCAGTCTGCCAAAACTACTTGTTTGTAATCAAGTGTGTGAGGCCTTTTAAATTTCAGGAAAAGTCTGCTTCTGTTCCACATCTCTCATCAAGTTTGAGTTTTTGGTAGCAATGCTAATAGAACCTCTGATATTTTCTGCATACTTATTCCTTGAAAACCTGTTGATATGAAAAAAATCAGTTGTGAACACCACAGCTGGTTCTTCCTACAGCATCAACATATGTAGTAGAAACTGACTGACCATAAAAAGACCGAACTCAAAATGTCATTATTAAAGGAAAGTTTTTTGAGTATGTTAGTAACTATGCATGTTTCTCTTTAATATATATAACATCCTGTAATAAGTTTATGCACTTTCATAATGTGGAAGCTTCGCAGAATTGTTTTGTTTGGATCACATGATACATGAATGTGTTTCAGAAGAACCTTTAAATTAACAAAACAAACCCTTCAAGCCTATCCAGGCAAATTTCCTTCCTGCCTGGCACTCCCTGAATCTTTCATTCCTCAAAGTGCCTAAATCCTGCACAGCTGCTTCACTTAAGGAGGGTGTGTAATCCTTGCAGCTCAGGAGTGCTGACACTTGGGTTTGGTGCCATCTTTCCTTTCTCTGTGACTGCCTCTGGGGAAGAGCAAAGGGGCATTGTGACACCCAGACGCGATTCAGAACTCCTCAGATTTTTCTGTCATAAGGGTGCCAGAATAACTTTCTTTGCTCTCTAGCAAGATGATTGTCTATCTACTTGTGAACTTCATCTGAAGCCTCCAGGGGCAGCAAAGTGGAAACTGCATTTGCAACAGGGCTTCCTTAGAGATCCTCTCGTTATATCAGTACCTTAAAGAATCATAATTCACAAGCAGCACTAGTTCTGGAAGCTTTGTCACTGTGAAAACAACAGGTACTTTATACATGGCACGGTATTTTCCACAAAACATGCCAACCTTTGTCATGGTAGCCAGATAAGTGAAAGTGCACCAAGCTATTTTTGTGGAATTATCAACAGTTTCCGTTTTTGTGGTGTGTTCTCTCCTGATGACCCTGAACACAAGAGCCCCTGAGGATCAAAGGGTGCTTGAAGTGTCATTCTCACTAGGAGACTGTTTCTTCTGTATCGGAGAATAGTGCAGTGAGGGATTTAAATAAAAATATAAATCACTTTGGAAAATAAAAAGAGCGTTGCCAGTGTTACTTCTTAACAATAGATTTTGTAATAAGATGTTGGAAACCAACTTTAGGTTGTCTTTAGCATCTTTAGGTCTCCTTTAGTCTTCAGGCCACAGAGGTAAGCTCAAGTATTAGGACCTGGATACATTTCAGGACATGGGTTTTTGTTTTGCCTGTTTCCTACAGTTCTCACCTGGATCTAGTATTATTTATTATTGTCATTAATGACTTGGAACTAGCATGATTAAATTTCAAGATGATACTAAAGCTTGTATTTCCTGGACAGCTGACATAACAGCTTGATGCTGCTGGAAAGCAGTGATCTCACTTCCCTCTCTCTGTTCTTGGCTGCAGAATGTCCTCGCCTTTGTTTGACTTTGGCATTTTTTAGACTCTCTAGATCAGTTTAATTCGTTGAATTGGTAGGAAGGCTTCTGGCTTTATTTATTTGTTTTTCTGGAGTTTTCTGCCACTAATGGACTAAATTGGCTCTCACAGAACAGAAGGTGTGAGAGGCTATTGACAGACTTTCAGAAACAAGCAGAATACGTTCAGCATAGGCAGAAGGTTTTATACTTAGACAAAAGTAACCAGCTGCATGAATGTAGGATATGGAATGACCGGTTAAGCAACAACCTGTAGAAAAAGATCTCAGTTACAGTAGATCAAAACTGAAAACAATTCAGCAAATGTCAGACTGTCACAAAAAAGGATAACATATATGGATGTGTTATATTTCATACTGTGTTACATACATGGATCCATATATATTGTTCTGCATATGTTATTTTTCATGGTATGTTACATATATCCATATATGTGTCCATATATGTAACACACCATGACAAATAACACCTGCAGAGCAATTCTTCTTCTGATTTAGTGTTGGTAAAAAACAAAACACAAGCAGTACGTAATTAGGGAAGGAACAAAGGAAGCAGGATTTAAGAACTCAAAATTCAGAGGCCAGAAATAATATTTGTTAACTCTG